AACTGAGGGATACTGATTCTACATACCCAAGAACGATTGTAATTTCATGTAATTTCAATAAAGGAACCATTTTGGAATTCAGAAGCACACAGCTGCCGGAGGATTCTGCCTACTGAGTGCCTCCTAGTAGGATTTCAATTGTCACCACCCAGCGATTTGCGCGCCTGACTGAGCGTGTCATCCAGATGCTCCACCAAATACCTCAGGGGTAAATGGACTGAGGATGACTAAGGTATAGGTATCCTCCAGTAATCAAACATAGATGGGACATCCCCGAACTCAACGGAGTGACTTGCGGTGTTTCATGGGAATTTCCTAGGTTTTTCCCTGGGACAATCATCGTATCCAAATCCAGGCCGTTGATCATACGATCTATGGCCTACGAAAAAAATCAGGATCCGAAAATGGAGGTACCATATTTCTGGCCAAAGAAATTCCGGGGATCTTCCTGAAATTGAGGGCTTATATGGTATAGGTACCTCCAATAAATCGGTTCCTGAAATGGCCATTGATCTATGGTATGATATTTGCACACATGAGATGTTCTGGGCTATATCATGGTATATCTCCGCTCAGCCAACCTTCTAGAAAATCCCCAAGGTTCCAGCTGATTTTCCGATAAATCTATTGAAGATCTTCCCTAGCAAAACGTGTTGGATTACTGGATGGTCATCAAATCGTTAAATACTTCCTGAACAATGACCAATTGTTTCCCTCCAATCACCCCCAAGATTCTTCGATTCTTCGGTCAGGATTCATAACATAGGGCACAAAAAAATACCAATCAACTTAAGGATTTGCCTCAGGAACAACTATAATAAACATAAATAAACCATATTCCCTGTAGATTCTCCCCAGTCGAAACCGTGGGTTTTCCCATCAAGGGAGAGGGGGTTACTAAAATCATCATACATAGAATGTAAACATATCTAAGTCATGCGACTTGACTAGCTTAAAGCACGTGGATTGGAACATGGGCCAAGTTGCAAATCCACCTGATCCACTTGCTCCTCATTCAGGCTTTGGATGCAGATCCTCAGATCAACAAATGACCGGAAATAGCTGGATCAGGCTGGATCATTGTAGGAACTGATCGGTGATAACAGGTGTATATATATATATAAATATTACTATACAAATATGCTCAAATATATGGAGAATAGATGGCATTAATCTAAATTCATGTTTGTTGACTTTACCCTCTGGTTATTTAACATAGCCATGGTATAGATGGCCCATAGAAATAGATGGTTTACCTATTAAAAAATGGTGATTTTCCATGGCTATGTTAGTCATAACCAGAGGGTAGTTAGCCATGTATTTTACGGATGAACTGGTGGGCTGTTGATCCAAATGCACCTGGTGTTTAGTTAGCCGAATGGCATGCTGGCCTCACCAACCAACCGTGGATTAGAAAACCAACCATTTTTGGATCTCCAAACGGGAAACCATCTATGTAAACGTTCACCAAAGGGTACATTCCCACGTTTCATGGTGACATCGAGCTGCTCCCCACATGTTGCAGCCATGTTTTTGGGATGATTCACTCACTCCAACTCCTAACCACCATGGATAAAATCTGGACGTGACATTTTTGGATCATATTCCCAGCTAGGATGTTCTACAAGGATTTTATTTTTCTGACAAAGCCATCATTTGTTTGCTATAGGCTATACCGCTATACCCCTTATATCATAGTAGGTAAATCCCTATGTCCGGGATTTAACATCTCCAAAACATTACGCAAACATGTTGTTCGATACAGTTTAAAAGGATTTGTCGTGCAGTATTGTTAACCAATCATCAAGTATTGTAAGTATTGTTATAAGTATTGTTATAAGTATTGTTATAAGTATTGTTTAGCCTTGTTTACAGTTAAACACATGGGCTAAAACTGAATGCAAACATATGCAAACCATTAAGTATTGCAATTTGTTTCCATTTAAACATGTCACTTGATACTTGAACTTCAAGATTCACATTTTGTCCACTAAATTCCGTATGTTATATCTACAATTTTACAAATGCTCCATGCATGGTATATCTACCAACATTTACCCCAAAAACACCCAGTCATGTTGGTATACATACCATACATGGAGCATATGGCTTCTAAAATCATGGCTGGCTAAGAAAACTTAGTTAACCCATCGGCTATATCAAGGCTGGCCCAGCGGCTGCAAGGAACTCTTGGAACCCGCCTCCTGCGACATTTGGTGATTCCAATGGTGATTAGATGGGGATTTAACCAACACAAATGGTGATTCCAATGGTGAATGGTGGAACAAAAATAAAGTTCATAAATGGATATAAATGGCACATGAGTCGATGGTGAAACAAATGGGACTTTCTCCCCAGCTTTCAGACAATTTCTGTGGGATTTATGACTTCTGTGGGGTGAAGACTGGGGTATTTCCATGAGTTGAATCACCGTTGTGGAAAGTCATCTTTTCTGCGCCACGTTGAGTGAGTGAAAAGTCACCGGTGTATCCTGTGTATGGCAAACTGCAAGTCCAACAATCATACCATGTCACAATGTCACAATCCCAACTAAGATGTGTTTGAGTATTGGATGTACCACTTTCGGGAAGTTTATTTTTGGTTTTGCTTGAAGGGTCATGAAAAACCAAGGAATTCCAGGTAGTTTCCTTCAGCATCCTTCAGCATCCTTCAGCAAACCCAGGTTTTGGACCAAAATTGGCAGTGGTGTTCATTGTTGAAAAAGTTCATTGTTGAAAAAGATCGGACCTTACGAACGTCATTGATAAATCACATAAATATACATATATATATATATGTGTGTGTGTTTGATCATCATTAACTGAAGAATCCAACTTATACTGATGCCTTTAATTTCCGAACATGCCTGCTGTTGTTGGTTCCATCGTTGTTTTCAAGAACCAGGTTAATTCCCTTTCGTAGGCCCATCCAGACCCTCTTGCAACCCCATTGAAGTCGTGCAACTTTAGGGGCCACGTGGCCGTTAAGTATGCCGATTAATAGTCCATCCTGACCGGCAAGGCTTCCCTTGGGGCTCACACCATTTTATGTATGTTTTCATATTTGTTCATACTAATAAACCCACGTTTGACAAATTGATGTGGCAAGCCAAATGACAAACCGTCCCTTAAATGTTTGCAGGGGCATCGCTGGCGTGATCTCCTTGGGATGTTCCAACGTCTTAAACTTGGCCAAGTTGGCCCGGTGCATGCCTGACGTCGCGAGGCGCTAACACGGTGACAACGGTTTTTGGTGTCAAAAAAGGTGTCTTTTCTGTAAGAAATGCCCGAAATTTCAACAAATAACCAATATATACCAATATAACCAATCTATTCCTATTGGCTGGTAAAGAAAGGTTGGTGCAGTGAGCTGTGGCAATGCGAATCCTATCGGAAAATCTACTAAACAGGTAAGTTCATGAGGAGATCATGGTAGTGTTTGGTGATTTACTTGCTACTTATGAGATTCATTCTATCTATCTATTCTATTCTATTATATTATATTCTATTCTATCTAATTATCCTATCTAACTATCTATTTATCTATCTATTTATCTATCTACCTATCTTTCTATCTATCTATCTATCTATCTATCTACTCATTCTATCTATCTATCTATCTAATCTAATCTAATCTAATCTAATCTAATCTATTTATCTATGTATCTATATATCTAATCTATCTAATCTATCTATATATCTATCTAATCTAATCTAATCTAATCTAATCTAATCTATCTTATCTTATCTTATCCTATCCTATCCTATCTATCTATCTATCTTTCTATCTATCTATCTATCTAGCTATCTATCTATCTATATATCAGTCTATCATTCTATCTATTATTCTACCTATTCATTCTATCTATTCATTCTATCTATTCATTCTATCTATCTATCCATCCATCTATCTACCTCTGTGTGTAATATATGTAATATATATATACACATATAATAACAATAACAGTAATAATAGCAATAGTAATAAAAAAAAAACAAATAAGCAATAACAAATAATAGAATGTGATAATAATAATAATAATGATAATAATAATAATAATCATAATAATAATACTAATAATAATAATAATAATTGTGACGTTTTTTTTCCAAGATTTTGGTTCCTGAGAATCCGCTGGGGTTGGTTACCGGGGATTCCCTTATCAATCAGCAGCACAAGCTCCTGCAATCATCAACTGAGATTCAGCTGCCACCCATTTCCTGGTAAATTCCAGGGATTTGAGGGGCATTCCTCCGGCCTTAAGCAATCTATTGTGGGAAAGCCACCCGCAAATTTTGAGGCCTTTGCATGTACAAACTATACTTTTTAGAGACTTTAGGTACAAGGGGGATCCAAAACCAACATAACAAGTCTGCAAGAATTGCATGGCTTGCCATGGTTTACAGCACCAAGAAATCAATATCAAGCTTGGAGCATGAGGGGAACATCAAGCTTTCCACTCTTGAATGGCTCAGTCTGCGGTTCAGCTTCGACACCTTCTTGTCTTTCAAGATAGTTTTTAATCTCGTTCTCGAGTATGCTTGATCAGAGTCACGCCGTCTCGTCCGGATCAACATCTTCATGACTATGATCTGCGCTTTCGATAGGCCTGTCATGGCCGCAGCGCAATGCACCATGCTTCACCAGCGAAGTCAGCTTCCAGAACTTACAACTGCAAACTCGCTGGTGGTTCAGCCACCAATTCCCAAAGCATTGCAGCCGTGCAACCAAAGAGCCTCATCCAAAATGAAGCTGGCACACGAAAACGATATTTCACTTAGACCACCTGCAACCAGGGTTGACACCCTATAGCTGTGGTTGTCTAGAGTACTATAATTCGATCTGTAAGTGGTCTGCTCCCACCCTTGCAATCCATTTCCCCAGGTTTTAGCCGCTAAAGAATCATTTTGGACATGTTCTTCCCAGTTCTCGTGCTCTCAATTTTTCCCCACTGTTGGACTGTTGGCGACTATCACGTGTATTTTGCCACGTTTTTCTTGCTATTTTGGGCCACAAAATCCCCAAGTTTTCTCCTCCAAGTCGCACTTGGCCAGTCGTTTCGGATTGATCAATGCTTCGTGAACGTCCGGTGGGGTCTCCATGTGCACATCCTGTCGACCCCAAGAAAGGACCAAGGCTTGAAGTTGGATGAGAAAAAAATAACTCACCATATATGACATATACTATAGTCAATAACCATAAAATTACTATCTGATTATCTATGATCAAAAGATACAATTATCATATACACATATTATATATATATATATTCAAAGTTGCTTCTGTGAATTTCAAGATATTTCAAGTAACCATTTGGTCTGAAAAAACTCCATCTTCGTTGAACAAGCCACTATTTATGATTGTTTATGTATAGAACTGTTTCACAGTTTCAAAAAGAAGACACATAGCAGCCATGGCTGGCGTGTTGAGGGTTTATGGCCAACCCAGATAGCGAAACCCCCGCGGCACGCAGGCGCCCAAAACGTGTAGCCCAACCTGCATGCGAACGTAGACCTTCATCAGTTTCTGCTGCAGATCCTAAGGCGATTCATGGTACAGGCCATCAAGGTTCCGAAAGATGGGAAAAAACATTTTTTGGGCTACTGAAATCACCATTCTAAGCGTAAATCCATCATCAGAATTCACCTAAATGGACTATGAATTCTAATCTTAAATCAATCATACTGTAATTCATCTAAATGGACCATGAATTTAGATAGCAATCTGTTAAATGACCGGAGGCGATCTATCAAAATGACGTAGGAACCGATACCTGACACCTGAGCTGTCCAAAAGGCGAGCAGAAAGCTCTCACAGTTCCTCCGTTACCATCTGAGCCCAGGGTCGGGCCCATATTTGTGAATGTTCTCACCGCCTTCCTCACGCCTGAAGCTGGCAGATTTCAAGGCAGGGCCTGATGGAACATTCCAAGATTCTGTGGTGAAGATCTCCATCTCTGGTATTCATTGCGTCATTGCTAGCTGCTTGGTTTAGCACCTTAGCACCTATAAACCCTCAAAGATCCTCGACCATACCTGGTGATAGCTGCCAAAATTCGGCCATTCGGGCCATTTGGGAATGATTCCATGCCATTGATTTCATGACGTGAGGTCATTGCAATTCATCCAACAGGTATGTTGATTGTATAGAAACCCATCGCCCCAATTCCACATGAGGAGTCATTAAGCGTTAACCAACCTACCAACCCTTCACCCCCGCTTGCCCAGAATGAAAGCACACGCACACAAGTGCCGCAATAAATCAAAGAAACACACAGCATCACCAAGTTCATACCCATTTACATTCTCATTTGCCACCCCTGGATCCAAAGATATCCAAAGTGTCCATTCTTCATCTAGCATCCCCACAGATTTTGACATCCAGGGGACTCTTTGTCTTCCAAGCGCATGCGGAGGTCCAAATAATGCATCTTTGTGGTATCCTCTTGCGGCAGACCTCCAGCGTCCCGGAGCTCTTGGGAATGACATGTGCTACACCTGTTTGGACATCTGCTACGGAAAAAAACGGTCGCTTTAATCGGACATGAATGGGAATATCTTGGGCTTCAATGAGGTAAATTGAACATGAATGGGACTATCATGGGATTTAATGGGGTTTAATGGGACATGAATGGGAATATCAATCAGAATCATCTTCGATTAGGCCAAAAGTGATGGTGCACTATTAGCAGGGCGACCTATTTCCCAGCAGGAAAAAAAAACAAACAAAAAGATTCTGGGTAAAGTATAATACTTCACTAATCTGAAAAGTTCGGCTAGGCTATACTGGGATACTGGGACAGGTGCCCCTTACATTTACCATAATTCCGGGCTTCGGTCGCAGGGTTCGGTATATTTTACCCAGATCAATGAACCATAATGATTTATTATCTTATAAGGTATATGAACCAGATATGGAAACTATATGGAAATCCCAGATCAATGAAGCTTATGAAGCATTGATAAGGGATTTCCATATAGTTTCCCATCCATTTTCCCATGATTGACACATGATTTTCCCATCCAGGTCCCCCGTAACATCAACGAAGCCTAGCGATTCGAGGACCGTGTCGGTGGTCTGCACCATATCTTCGGGGTTCTGGTGTTCATCCTCGTGCTGCCTGACAAGTGGAGAGCCAGAGCTTGGTTCATTTTTTCTCATGGAAAAAAAACGGCACAAAACAATGGGAATAGAACGGAAGCAACCACGCAAAATGGAAATAACATGGAATAATTAAATATTAAACACCCCAAAAATCACCTGAATCCATCCAGAGAAAAGAAAAAACACATGGTACATTTTGTCACATCATCGTTTCTCATCTTTTCCCCATTGGGCAAATGTCATCAGTTACACGGCGATTGAGCGACAAATCCCCCGAGTGAAATGGACACTGAAATGGGAAATTCATGGGAAGATCTTGGAAAATCATGGTAAAATGGGAAATCATGGGAAAACCATCCATTATAAATTGAGTTTTACTTAGAGAAACAGCGACAATTGATGACAAGTGGGCATTTATGATCATCGCACTGAATGGGAGGGGTTCCATTGCTGCCATGGGGAGCCTTACAGCAAGGTTTACCCGCTTGATATCATACTATTTAGTTCATATCCGATGATGCTTCCACTGTGTAGCCGGGAAATGCAATTAGCTACCTTTGCCAGGGTATGACCATCATCTATATATTGGTTGGTTGTAGATTCCTATCAAATGGTAGGTAGATGTCATCAAACATGTCAACATTAGTTGATATCACCGTACATCCCTATGTCTGTTAAAAGTAACCATCTGATTCACTTATATTCGTTCAATCACCACATTTCACCATCTTTTTGCCCAAGTCGCTCTTGGTGCAAGATGTCCTTCCAAAGTTTACTCTTCACCAGTGCCCGCGTGAAGAGACACCTTGGAGGACCGCCTGGTGATCTGACCACCTAGCTGACTGGAAATGTGCAATGCGAGATCCAACATGATAAACCATCATCATGAATGTTGTGGTTTACTATTGAATAATGCCCCTACTCGAGCTGATGTCTGAAAGAAAAACAACATGTTTATACATGTTTGATAATTGGGGACTGTGCGTTTATTCATCCACTGTTGTGGTGAACAGAAGGCCTAGCATTTGACAATATCACATGTTGTTGCAAGTGCGTACCCAGTATGGATTAACACCTAGTATTACGTACGCTCACAATTCAAAGGATGCTCATTTACATACACCTATACAACAATATGAACACACGTACAGTGCGTGCGTGCATGCATAAGACCTCCCGTCATTTATCACAATGTCATCAGGATTTTACTTTCTTTTTAACTCTTCATTTATAGAGGTTACTGAGACATATGCCAGCTTAAATATATACATGTATAAAATATTCACATATATAGTAAATATACGCGCGCCCCCCCCCTTTCGCCCATACAACATGTGCACAGCTTCCAACTACATTGAAGAGGGATATTGACTGGCGTGTTGAAGGGAATCTTCAAGATGTTCCAACATAGTTTCCAGGGAATCAATAGATCCCTACTCCCTCTAAACTTTATATGCAAGCGAATCTTTAAGAGGATGATGATGATGATGATGATGATGGTGTTGTAACATTCAACGCACAGGTTGCTAAGCTGTGCGTTGCAAGATGAAAGCCATGATCACGGACATGTGCATTTTGTCCCACAAAACACAGTGGTTTTTGATGTTCGGACACGTGGTGGACTTCGTCGCGGGGAAAAGCAGGGGTTTGTAAATAAATAAATATATATATATATACGCGTACACACACACACATATATATATATATATATTTATATTACTAAATGGATTTGCATAAGCTAGTTGTCATTTATTTATATGTACATATGTATATATATTTATGGTACCCCCCCCCTGGTACCTACCTTTCCTTGATTTTTACTGTAAATTACAGTATAATTTGCTTATTTTCATATGTTGAATTTGATAGTTTTTTATATTGAGTTTCTTGAGACATGAGTTCAGACTTGAGTTCAGACTTGACTTCAGACTTGAGTGTCATAGTCTCGATTCCCGCTACCCAAGATCCAAGATCCAAGATTTCCAGAAAGCTTTTTATATTGAGTTTCTTGAGACATGAGTTCAGACTTGAGTTCAGACTTGACTTCAGACTTGAGTGTCATAGTCTCGATTCCTGCTACCCAAGATCCAAGATCCAAGATTTCCAGAAAGCTTTTTATATTGAGTTTCTTGAGACATGAGTTCAGACTTGAGTTCAGACTTGACTTCAGACTTGAGTGTCATAGTCGATAGATCCAAGATCCAAGATTTCCAGAAAGCTTTTCTTGGAAATCTACCCAAGATCCAAGATCCAAGATTTCCAGAAAACTTTTCTTGGATGCACTTGCAGAATCTTGGATGCACCCAAGATCCAAGATCCAAGATTCCCAGAAAATTTTTCTTGGATGCAGGCTGGAAATCTTGGATGCACCCAAGATCCAAGATCCAAGATTTCCAGAAAACTTTTCTTGGATGCACTTGCAGAATCTTGGATGCACCCAAGATCTTGGATCTTGGGTTTATCCCAAGATTTCCAAGATTTCCAAGAAAAGTTTTCTGGAAATCTTGGATCTTGGATCTTGGGTGCATCCAAGATTTCCAGCCTGCATCCAAGAAAAAATTTCTGGGAATCTTGGATCTTGGATCTTCGGTGGCAGGCTTTGAGGCTTGAGTTCAGACTTAAGTTCAGACTTGAGATCAGTGTACACATGTGTAGACAGAAACTCTCCGACAAACAATGTCCGCGTGCCTCGGTCTGAGCTTCGCTCTTGGCTTGTTGAGATCTCGTATCCTCGTGTCATCGCATCCGGCCTCATGTCGATCCCCGTTGCCGGAAGTGTGCTTCTGCGCGACAATCAGGCCGTTGTTGTCTTGTCGGTGGCACAGGATGGCGCGGCGGCTCCTGGGGGACCTGGTGGGGGACCTGCAGACAACCTACAAATGCTGCTGAATCAAGTCCTCGCCGGGGACCATGCAGTACGTGAAGCTTACGTCCTGGAAAAGGAGAAGGAGATTTGCTTTGTTGCTGTAGTTTGCCCAAGTGAGAACTTGTAACGCAGCACTTTGTGCAAAGCCTTCATAGCTTCATCCTTTTGAACCCACCCTCCCTCAAGCATGTAACCGTGATTCGTGCAAAGTACTTGCTGTAGTTTGCCCAAGTGAGAACTTGTAACGCAGCACTTTGTGCAAAGCCTTCATAGCTTCATCCTTTTGAACCCACCCTCCCTCAAGCATGTAACCGTGATTCGTGCAAAGTACTTGCTGTAGTTTGCCCAAGTGAGAACTTGTAACGCAGCACTTTGTGCAAAGCCTTCATAGCTTCATCCTTTTGAACCCACCCTCCCTCAAGCACGTGAACCACGTGGTTCGTGCAAAGTACTTGCTGTAGTTTGCCCAAGTGAGAACTTGTAACGCAGCACTTTGTGCAAAGCCTTCATAGCTTCATCCTTTTGAACCCACCCTCCCTCAAGCACGTGAACCACGTGGTTCGTGCAAAGTACTTGCTGTAGTTTGCCCGAGTGAGAAATTATAACGCAGCACTTTGTGCAAAGCCTTCATAGCTTCATCCTTTTGAACCCACCCTCCCTCAAGCATGTGACCGTGATTCGTGCAAAGTACTTGCTGTAGTTTGCCCAAGTGAGAACTTGTAACGCAGCACTTTGTGCAAAGCCTTCATAGCTTAATCCTTTTGAACCCACGCTCCCTCAAGCATGTAACCCACATGGTTCTTGCAAATGACTTGCTGCCAGCACAGATGTAGCTACGAAGAAAGGAAGGAATTAACAGTAAAAAGTAGGTATCAGGGGGGGGGTTAGCATATTTATATATATATATATATATATGTGTGTGTGTTATATACCCTCCGGTAAACTGACATAGCTATGGAAAATGGGTAATTTATAGTTGGTTTACCTAACATGGTGATTTTCCATCGCGAAGTGTTAGCCCGAGACGCCCCAGAGCTTCCTTTGGAAGTTTCTTCTCGTCCCCCAAGACATCCTGGTGACGCGCGGCATTCTGTGCACGCGGCTTACGTTGAGAAAATAATTAGGGTTTAATGACATTGTTTCTACAAAAGATGTAATGATTAATTATTAATTCAATTTTATCATTTTATGGTGATGGTATGTGTGTTTTTTTTCCAAATAATGGCTCCACGATAGTTTAATTTTGATGGTAGTTGAACGTACAGTATATTATTGCTCAAATAATGGTGGTGTAATGTTCAACTCTCATCAAAAAATAAAATGAATAGTTAATATCAATGAATCACCCAACATCAAAACTAGCAACATCGAAGTAATTATTGGTGATATAATTTTATATATTATATGTTGCATGATAGTTGGGTTGGATGTGTCTGAAACTGGGGCACCACAGGCAAACCAACGAGGATGTTCAAGGTCTTAGGTAAGGACATCACCAAAAACCAGTGGAAATGCCTTCACTACTTGTAACCAACCTGAAACCCCATGTGCAATTTATTACATGCTGTAAGATGCGTAAATGTTAATTGTCTTAATCATTGAATGAGTAAACCGGTAGATGTTTCATGTATATTCAACCTAGGTCCAAGGTTGATTTACCACCCTTGGGTCCAACTTTTGTTAACGTTGGGGCCGCACTCTGGTCAATAAAGCCATTTACATCCATTTGAACATATGCGACAATACCCATCGGGGCTACCCGTGGGGAACCCAAAGCGTCAAAAAAAACATAAAGAACAAAAAACAAAGGTCTTGATTGAATGCCTCCTCAAAATATCCAAAAAGAGGGTTACTGTGTGTTGTGATCACGAACAAATGTCTACTTGAGATTTTTCCTTTCCAGCTGTGCACCTGGGCGTACAACGTTTGCATGGACTGGAGAACGGCACAAGAACAAATATTGAATTCAAAAGCATGTCAAGGTGATGAAAAATCTCCAAAGATAACATGTATCTGGAAGAATTAAAATATCTGACCTGAAGAAAATAAAGCCGGTGTCTCGTCTCTCGAGTCGGTGACAATAGTATCTGCAATAGAAATGGGCTATAGTTAGCACATAGCCACGGCAGATAGTATTGCAACCTATTTTGGGGTTCCACATGTTTGAGGTGACAAGCAACTAACTATCGGATGGTCTCTTATTATAGAAAATAAGAATAACAATACCAGTATGGGGAAATCAACCTTGCGAAATGGATGGTTCACATACTTCATAAACGTCATCAGTTCATCTGGTTTTTCGATTTTCCATATTTCCTGAATCTCTGTTTGTTCGGCCCGCCAAAAAAACTGGGAATTAGATTCTTTAGATCACTAAAATTTGTTCTCGGATTTGTTTCTTTAATATGATTTAATCGCTTTAACATATTCTATTAAACTGGGATTTAGATGCTTTAGATCACTAAATATGTTCTCGGATTAGATTCTTTAATATCATTTAATATTTACTCCTGGAAATTGTATAAATCATCTCCCCAGATCGATAAAAACGGCACGGTAAAAACGTCAAAAACTCCAGGTCCTGTTTGATGAGGCTATTGTTCTCCAGGCGATGTTTCACGTACGCATGGGTGCGCCTTAGTAGGCAGGGGATGGCAGGGGTGTGACCTATGGAGGAACAAACGTTCAACTCGTTGGGATTTCATGGGGATTTTATAGGGATTTTATAGGGATTTTATAGGGATTTTATAGGGATTTCATGGGATTTTATAGGGATTTTATGGGATTTTATAGGGATTTCATGGGATTTTATAGGGACTTATGAATGGGGAACAAAATAACTGGTTGGGATTATCTAATAATAGCGGTTATAATACCAATAATAGTGGTTATATATGGTTATATGATGGGATATATGATCATACTGGTTGGTGGTATACCTACCCCTCTGAAAAATATGAAAGTCAGCTGGGATGATGAAATTCCCAATATATGGAAAAAATAAAAAAATGTTCCAAGCCACCAACCAAGTTCAACTGGATGACGTTTGGGATTTTTCTTAGAGGATCCCCCAAACCATAGGTTTCAATACTAAAATGATCTGATTTTGCATGATTTGGGGGTACCCCCATTTTAGACTGGGGAAAAAGTCAAACACGGATAGGACCAAACCCTGATTTATGTGTCTATTATGGGGTGCTGAGTGCTCCCAAATGCAAGAATAGTGGGTTGCTAATAATAGTAATGATAACAACCATATACAAAGATCAAATACCATAAAAGTGACAAGTTACCATTTACCCTGGGTACTCCCAAATAGTGACAAGTGTGCCTTTTTTTAATGGTACCACCCTAATTCAACAGCCCAGTGGTGTATTAAAAACCTGGGGTTGGCTGGGGTTACTTGACATATCCACTAATATCCATTGATATCCATTCAGAACCAATATCCCATAGCCCATCCACTAATCCTATAGCCCATACAATGGGAATTTCAGGATCCTAAAATGGAGGTACTGTACCATATAAGACCATATTTTGTTGGGATATCCCCTTACATAGGCCTGAAAAATAGACCTTGTATCTGGAATCGGTACCTCCAATAAATCGGTTCCTGTTGCATGGCCATTGACCCATCGGAGAAAGGCTATGAAAACATAGCGCTCACGCCAAGATTCTCCGCCAATTCTTCTTCCAGCTTCCTCACCGAGTCGAACCGCGGAAAATCGTATACTGGTCGGGGAAAAAACGTCCACAGCAATGCTTGAATGCGGGAAAATCATGGAAAATCCACCGCAAAAAAGGACCAAAAATGGAATACACTCCTTGAAAAAATTGGATATATCAATTGGGACATCATGTGGCAAAATGGGATTATTTCATATTATTTCAAGTGGGAGATCATTGAACTGCTTTCAGGTAAAAATCATCCAATATTCAATCTCTTTTGGTTGCTGGTTGAGCCAAGCATCGTCAATAAAGCAATCGGATGAACCAAGATATGATCGGCAACATGTACGTATATGCTGAATGGTTTCCAAGGTCGGCCCAGGTTTGTAATTCATAAAACATCACAAGACACTCGTTGGTCATAAAAAAGTGGAACTTATCGTCCAAAATCCATGTTGAGGGGTTCCATGCTAGTTCTCATCTGTCCTTTTCCGGAGAGGATCACTGTTGGACTTACCATTTGGCTATTTAACAGTTCGCCATGGAAAATCCGCCCATTTTCAAGAACGGTAAACCATCTATTTCTATGGGCCATGGCTCTACCATGGCGAACTGTTAGTCATAACCAGAGGGTAGTTTCTTAGTTCAGCGATGTGAAAAATCTGCATGCCAATCCTGATCTTGTTCAACTTGTATAGCCTAGAAGGAAACAACAAGTGTCAGGAGTTCTGGCAATATTTCATGGAATGTGGCAAACATTAAGCCATAGAACATTCCCAGTGAATTGCCAGAAATGAGTGTTGCAGATTAACCTGTTGTTTTGCCACATTACCTAAACTGGTTGGTGGTATACCTACCCCTCTGAAAAAGATTAGTCAATGGGAAGGATTATCCCATATATTATGGAAAATAAAACATGTTCCAAACCACCAACCAGTCACATATGCCCCAATGAACTTGCAAAGCTAATGACCCCAGCTAACTATTCATAAGTCTGTTTGATTCTAGTCGGTCTTAGTCCAAGTGGTCAATTCATGTGTGCCATATGCTCAAGACATAATAGTCATCATTTACACGTCGCAGGGTCATCATCCCATAATGGAAATTCAAATATGGGTATATGATTCCTTTCAAAAGGGATTAACCATTCCGAATCATTCCCATACTATATAATCCAGATTATATCATCAAATCCCATATTAATCATTCCCATACCGTACATCCGTACCATATAAGCCCGCTTTTGATTGTACATGTATATATACTTGCTTCTATGTCCCAGTATGTTCCAACCCACATTTTCACGGTGCTCACACAACCGCTCTGCAACGTGTCAAGCGACCGGTAGGTGGCAATGACACGTTTGGAGCTGCCACTAGATATCTTGTCGTATTGGTCCAAGAAACTGTCGCAGACCTGATGGGTGAAAGTTATTGTGTTTCTTGTTGGAATTTGTTGGGAAATTCATGAAATTTGAGTTATTGGGAATGTTTATCAGGATGTTTTACCACAGAACAGGTGAAAGTTGAAACCGTTTCATACATACCAAGGAACCTTTCTGGGAAGATTATTGGAAAATCAGAGGACCATTGATAAGTTGGGCCACAGACCTGGGGATGACAATGTTGGGATACCCTCTGATAAACATACAAAAAGCTATTGAACATGGTCATAGAAAATAGTTGATTTTCCCATAAAAAAATTGTGATTTTTAGTTATGTGACAGTTTACCAGAGGGTATGTATTGGATTGTATTGGTATCTTTAGCTTTCCATGGGAATTTCATGGGACAACCTGGGAATCACATTTCGGGATTTTCCCTGCAATCACAATGATGAGTTGAGGAACAGAACGTTGGGAACTTGGAATTTCTTGGGGAAAAAATATGAAACAAACATGGGAACATTGTGAATTCCCTGACAAACTGGAAATACCAATGGTAACACAACCCCCGGGTAAACATTCATGATTTCCTGGGAAAAAGAAACATTGAACAAAGTAGATTTTGACAAACAAGTTACTTGTGGGAATAACTGGTTGAATTCCATGCTGATTATATTGGAAAATCCGACGCTTAAACAAAATTGTTGAGTCCGTTTGGCCAGTGATCATTCTTCCCATGCGTTTCAGAAGAAGCTAAAGCAAGGATGTCAGTTTCGGATAGTCAAAGCCGATAGTTTCGGGAATCTCCTTGCCCATTGGGGAATGGCTGAACAGGAAACGGAATGAGACGTTCCGTCAACATGTGCAACACATGTTTTCCGCGTTCAAATGCTGGAACTGGAAACATCAATGAAACACGGCAAAATTCACACACAGAGCTGTTTATCTATGGTTACGTTGATCTGTGGTTTTTTTTCCTATGGTAGGGGGACAAGATTGGATGCACTTCGGTTGGACCATGCTCCTTACGTCAAAGCTGTTTCCCACACGCAAGAATCCAAGCTGATGCCGAAACAACGAGTCTGTGGAGCATCTCCGTGCTTCTCTGAGTTTGTGGATGCTGGGAGCAACAAATCATAAAAAGTCACCCTTCTGATGGCAAAACATCATTTGATTCACGAATTTTTGGTTCTAGACTATCTCTACAGCATTCGGTTGGATTCAAGCACAAAATGGACCTGTTCAACTAATTTGCGAAGTGGTTTGGGAAATCTGGGCAAGATTTCTGATACCGGCAAGGAGAATGGGTAATTTCAAGAGCACAAGGTCCCTGTGCTGTCCTGACTTCGCTCGTAGACCCAACAGGCTATATCCACACGGCTGGGGCCTATCTGCTTGGTGCTTTCAATCCCAAAAAATATTAGTCACTAGGGATCGTCATCCCAGGGCTGAACAATATTACCCTCTGGTAAACTAACATAGCTGTTGAAAATTGCCATTTATAGTTGATTTACCCATAGTTTACCAGAGGGTAAAAAACGAAATCACCAAATCATCATTGATCATTTGATCGCATTCTAATCATTCTATTCCCGCTAGATCAAAAAAATCTTCATGGGTAAATCACCCGCAATACATGGACCATCCCCCCTAATTTTGGTGCTTTCATCGCCACCTCGGGAGGCAGTAAAATCGCGCAAGTTTAGTACCACCCTCTGGGAATTTATATAACATAGCATTGGCCAATTAGATGATTCAACAAGAATATAAGCATGCATTTTTTCATATTCCTATATGTTAGATTATCTGAAAGTAGTGTAAGGTAGTTGGGCGCCCTTAAAAAAGTGATGATTAGGTCAATATGCATGAATATCCATTAATTCATGCACCCATCAACACCCAATAGTACTCATTCATGCTCATTGACACCCATGGATACATCCATCCACATCAACACCCACTAATATCCATTCACATATCCATTCACATATCCATTCACATATCCATTCACATATCAATTCACATATCCATTCATATCAATCAACACCCACTAATATCCATTCACATATCCATTCATATATCCATTCATATCCATCAACACCCTCTAATATCCTTTCACATATCCATTCATATATACATCAATATCCATCAACACAAATTAACATCCATTAACATATCCACTAATTAATTAAGTAGTACCATGTAATATCCATAAATAAATACATAATATATGATCCACAAATTACGCAATATCCATGAAACAACTATTTAATTCAGTATAACATCCATTAACATATCCACTCATTATCACTAATTAAGTAATATACATTAACATATCCACTAATTTAAATAAGTAACATCCATGCACATATCTACTAAGAATAGTAATATCCATCAACACCCATTAACATCCACTACCATCCGTTAACCATATCTATATTACCTCTGTGGATATCTATATTACGGATATGTTAATGGATATTAGTGGTTATACTATGGATATTGGTGGATGTTACCATCATTACCATGACAAAAGTTCATACCCAAAAGTTAATATCCAAAAGTTAATATGCAAAAGTTTAAATCACTATCATTATTATATTAGTTACCCTCTGGTAAACTGTCACATAACTATGGAAAATCACCATTTTAAATGGGAAAATCCACTATAACTGGCCATTTTCAATAGCTATGTTAAATTACCAGAGGGTAATATCCAAAAGTTCTGTCTTCACTCTCCACACATCTCTGTCTTTTCAGATCCAGGTGACCAGTTCCAAGACCTCCGGAATCTCGTCGTGGAGCATCCGCTCCAATTCCTCGCCACGGAAAACGACGAAACCGACGTTTCCGGGGACGACGCAGATCCCCGGTGTCCACACGTAGGTGGCAGGAAATAGCCTATAAATATCTAGACATATAGAAGCTTTGAATGGAATAATCATCTACAACTGCTTGGTGAATAGGAATTCGAATGGATTGTGATGATCCCTACTATATTGGATGGTATTAACCCCTATTTATCGTGGTAAATGCCATGGAACGACTCCGTTTTAGAGCCAACAAATCATATCTATAGGCCGGAAAAACTCTGTCTTGACTTGAGGCCGGGGGTGGATGACGAAAGCTAGCGGAGTAGGAGAAAGAAGGAAGGGAAGAGGTGAGTTGCGGAAGGACTGTCATCATCGTGTCGCGGCATTGTTCGTCCCAACGAGGATGCAACAATGATATATTGATATATGATATATAACAATGATATATATGGGGGAGGGGGCAGGGGGGGGCCCTTTCGCGGGAAAAATCACGTGATGTCCTTGGGGAGCCCCGGAATACGTGCTAAAGCAAGAAGACTCTAGCGAGCTGACGCTAGCTTTCGTGATAATGACAATAATTGCCAATAATGATAAAATGTAATTGAATAACGATGATGATGATGATGAATGAATGATGAATGATGAATGATGAATGATGAATGATGAATGATGAATGATGATGATGATGATGATGATGATGACGAGGATGATGATGATGATAATGATGATGATGATGATGATGATGATGATGATGACGATGACGAGGACGATGACGAGGACGATGATGATGATGATGATGATGATGATGATGACGAGGACGAGGACGAGGACGATGGAGAGGACGATGACGATGATGATGACGATGATGATGACGATGATGATGACGATGATGATGACGATGATGATGATGATGATGATGGTGGTGATGGTGGTGGTGGTGGTGGGGGAGGGGGGGGGGCCCTTTCGCGTGAAAAATCACGTGATGTCCTTGAGCAGCCCCCCCAATACTTGCTAAAGCAAGAAGACTCCAGCTAGCTGACGCTAGCTTTCGTGATATTGTTACAGTACCCCATGGTTCTCTGATGTTATCTGACATAGCCATGGAAGATGGCTCATGCACAGATATTTTACTCTGGTTTTCCACACGTTAAATTACCAGAGGATAGGCAAATGGCCACGGAAAAACTCTGCTTTACAGTGTATAGGCCAGAGGAAATAAAAAACTGTTTTGTAGCCAGAACATATGGAAGAACGCTGTTGATTTGATTTTACACCTTTATCAAGATATTCAAAAAATATTTGTGTACATCAATGTTTGTGTGTGCGTGTTGCCTTAATCTCCTGGCAAACTAACATAGAAGTAACAGTTTGCTATGGAAATCACATGAAATAACCATGTTGAAGAGGTAAATGATCGAACTGAATCAGCCATCTATACCATAGCGACAACGCTGCGCCGGCTGAAGGCTTCATTTAACCCATCACATCTGGGAGCTGCCTTGCAATCCTCCAGTGGAATCAAACAATGCCACAAATAACGAAATTTCTATAACTATAACCATTTAAAATAGTTCGGATATATGTGTGATTGTCAATAGATACTGAGAGTAGTTACTGTATCTCAAACGAACAGAAGGTACATCACATCTTGTTCTATCCCTTTATATCCCCCTTCTATATCTTCTATCATTCTCCCCATTCTATTCCTCTAAACTCTCTACAAGGTTGTTGGTGAAAGCCAGCATTTTTTCGCCAGTTCCCAGGAGAGGATTATCTTGGAGGATCCGAGCCCCTTAAGCCCTGCCAGGCATAGCCAGGGTGCATCTTTCGTGTTTTTCAGCCCCGTGAGCATGGTGGTAAAGACGGCCGCCAGACCGCCAGCACACGCTAAGGCTGTAAGCATCTGTGCCGTGATGGAACGATATGGAAGGTATGGAACGTGGAAAATCTAGAAGGGAAAGGAACTGGTTGGTGGTTGACCTAGCCCTCAGAAAAATATGAAAGTCAATGGGAAGGATTATCGCATATATTATCGAAAATAAAACATGTTTGAAACCACCAGGAAAAACATGGGGAAGAATAAAGACAGAAAGAATGGGAATCTCGTGGGATATAAAAATTTGATAGATGTCAAATCAGCTGGCTATAGCGGCTTTAACAAAACAGAATCCATGGCTGGGAGCATGGCCAACATGGCCCGTTCCTCGCCTGTTCCGGATAGATGACAACCACCATGGCGAACCACAGCACGCTGGAGATGGCGAAGCTGAGGATGACCCAGACGTAACTGCTGACCAACATGGATCCCATGCCATTCATCAACCTGGTGAGTGAGTCATCCACCAATTTAATTATGGAGATTGTCATAGGAAAATCATCTATAAATGAAGGTTTAAGAGAAATATCATCTATAATTTGGAGGTTTCATCTATCAAGAGATTGTTCAATGGGAATTTTAGGATTAAGGAGCTACGTTAGTACCATATTTCAGGCGAAATTGTGGGGATATTCCCTGAAATTTAGGCCTGGAAAACAGGCCGTATATATGGTTAGTACCTCCAATTTAGGTTCCTGAAATGGCCATTGAATTGTTGGTAAATCCCTTATAGACATGGGTATGGGAATATCATAGGAGAATCTGGGAAACTATAGGAGAATCCATCGAAATGGAGGTTTTCATAGGAAAATCATTGATATATATATAATTATATATATATATGGAATTGGTGAGAATTGTCCCTTGCCACATTACCAGAGGGTAACTCAGAGGGAAGATATTGGTGCTTGAAATGAATGCAAATGGGTGCACGTTGTGGTACCCTTCTAGACAGGTAAGTTGATTGACATGACTGGTTTAACATGGTTTAACTATGCTTACCAAGGGTTTATCGTGATGTTCTCTGGCTTTTTGGGATGGGCGAACTCAGTGATGAGAGACTTCTGGAAGCGGCAACTTCGTTCCAACTCATTCCGATTCCAAAAGGATATGGGTTTCACCAACTATTAATTCTTTGTCCAATCACCAACCATCTTTCGGATTGGAATGGATTGGAAAAACATGAATCTGGGTAAATCAAATTATAGTACCCTCTGGTAAACTAACAGTTTGCTATTGAAAATTGCCATAGAAATAGTGGATTTACCCAATAAAAATGGTGATTTTCCATAGCTATGTAAACGTTTACCAGGCCGGGTATTTCACTCACCTGACTAGTTGCTAAACCTCCATTTTCCTATGGTTTTCCTATGGTTTTCCCATTAAAACCTCCATTTTCCTATGGTAAACCCCAGGGCCGGCAGTTTCACCAGGTGGCTGATGAAAACCATGTTGGAAGGCTGCTGGGGGTAGGTTCCTGGCGGATCATCGAATGAAATTCGTGCCCAAAAACCATGTGGACCTTTGAAAAATGGTAAATACCCTCTGGTTATTTAACATAGCCATGGAAAATGACCCATTTATAGATGGTTTACCTATTAAAAATGGTGATTTTCCATGGCTATGTTAAATAACCAGAGGGTAACCCATCTATGCCATAGAAAAGCGGTGTGTATAGCGAAAAAATATACACATATAACCAGACGGTAAATGGGAATCATGATTCTGCTTGATACCTTGGGAGTCACCTTGGGAGTTTCACCAAAGTAAGCAACAAACATGAGCCAGTAAGACACCACCGTGCACTTTCTGCTTTTTCTTGGACATTACGAAGGATTTGCTTCAGAGTCTCTCAACTTGCTTTCTGAAATCTGGTAATTTAACATAGCTATTGAACATGGCCCATAGAAATAGTTGATGTACACAGGTATACCTATATAAAGATGGTGATTTTCCATAGTTTTTTGTATGTTTACCAGGGGGGTCCAGTAGATTCCCCATGGATACGGTGGATTGCGTCCTCAAGAAGTTCGACTCGCAAATGAGCATGATCATGGTGCTCGCCTTCCGTGCACTGAACGAAACTTCACTGAATTACCCATGACGGATCCATGGTGCTGGTATATATGCTAACATGACTGGGGTATATTGATGGTAAATGTTAGCATATATACCAGCACCATGGATCCTATGGGTAATATACTATAATTACGTTAAAAAAAGTGCAAATAACTCTAAGAACTGTTTGGGTGGGGGAACTTCAACCAACAGTTTCATACCGGCAGCACTTAACAGAGGGTTTTCTACATGCCGCCGTAAATGATGTTCTCCCTTGGGGTATCTGGGGGATCAACATGACCTGAAAACCCCAACTGATACCAACTGAGACGACCGCAAATGAATTCTTACTCTCCGAAGTCGCTAGCGGAATTTCTGACACTTCAGCAGGTGTGATAGGCACACTGTTCTTTTAAAAAAAGGGTATTCCATTGGGCAGCCCAAAAAGAGACCCCGTCAGGAACAAAAGGATCAGATCACCATGGAATCACAGCTGACTCATGTGATTCATCATGATTGGCCAAGCCACTCACAATATCACCTATTTTCCCTGGCAAAATGCCCGGCTGGGATTTCTGAAAGCCCCCAGGGTATATCACCAACATATATAGCCATTTTACTGGGCAAAATGATGGGAAAATCTTCTGGGAAAATGATGAGCATCCATTTGGGCAACATCTGGGCACTTCTCTCAGCAATTTGCAATGCTTGAAATGTCCCCGTAGAATTCCATGATGTACGATTCCATACCCCATATGCGAACCATGGTGCTGGAATATTGACCTACAAAACTGGGTGATTTTGGGCAAGGGCAGCTGTTGGTAAATATTCCAGCACCATGGAGCATATGGGTACTACAGTATTCCCAAATTCTTGGGCTGATTCCCCCAATCCGACCTGGCTTACATATCTGAGGCATGGTCAGCCAGTACACCCATGATGGGGGACAAGCTCAGCATGTCCATGGTCAAGCAACCGTTTTAGGCTTGTCCAACTGGCTTATAACTTAACCATGAATCGTGGGAAAAAATATAACCTACACCATCCTACACCATAGTTGTACCATGTTGTATCATGTTATATTCCCTTTGTTGATAGGATAACTCACTTAAAGGACTTACTAAGCATTATTCACCACGTCCCATCACCTGGGATCTTCCCATCGTCCCATCGGAGAGTCACCGTGACGGTGCTGCCGATCAAGGCCACGAAGGAGACGCTGGAGAGACCCTTCATCCAATCCTCCACGCTGTGTCCTCGAAGAAAAAAACAGGTGCCCCCGGGTTGGAATGGCTAAGTTGGTTCGACATCCATTAACTATAGGTATCATACCTATAAGCCTATAAACTATAAACCCCCTAAAAAAGATGGAATGAATTTAATTTTAAGTTTAATTTTACTTTTCTATCTTTTTGGGGATGACTATACCATAAACATGCATAAACCTTAGCTGCTGGAGTTTTACCACTGGAAGAACGGTGGATTTCACCATTAAGCTATGGGATTTACATGTAATTCCAGCAAAGTCGGGGTAAACGTGACTCCAACTGGTTGGTGGTATACCTACCCCTCTGAAAAATATGAGTTCGTCAGTTGAGATTATTATTCCCAATATAAATATAATTATATATATATATGGAAAAATAAAAAATGTTCCAAATCAACAAACAGCTGTAATTAGCACTGCTGATTTTTACATACAACTGGGAGGTACCACCTTGAAGTTGCAAATTGGGATGGGAATTGTCAGAAGGGGACTGATATTGGATCGACGACCCCCAAAAAAAACACATGACACATGTAAAACGACTATGATTTCCACCATCTTGGATCAGCTATCAATATCTCTGCGTGTTCCCGGAGAACTTCATAACCAGTTGTAAAATATCCATGAAATTACCCTCTGGTAATTTAACATAGCTATTGAATATGGCCATTTATAGTGAGTTTTCCCATTAAAAATTGTGATTTTCCATAGTTATGTGAAAGTTTACCAGAGGGTAATTGTAAGCTCAGCCCACCGACAACAACGCAGGCGCGCCCCATGAAAATCCATGAAAGCCATGGCCTGAGACAACTGCAGAGAAGGTCATGTCCGGAATGTGCGACTGAGTTCGCGAATCCGTGGAATATTCCTGGGCAGATTTCTTCACCCTGCAGCAAAGTAAGATAGAAACGTAGAAATGTGTAGTGCCCCCCAATTATAACCCCATCAACTATATACATCTCCCACAAACTCTACTTTTGGAGCTATCAACCAACTTAAATAGTTAGCAATGGAGAACCAATTTCTAGAAATTCAATGGAAAACAAAGAGCCGGCCGGCCAAAAACGAGAAAAGTCATCATGTTCAGTTTGAAACATTTTGAAACCACCCAGGTCTTTGCAAGTAAATCACAACCTGCATCCCGAAAAATTGGCCGAATGTCACCATTTTTAGCTTTCCATGGCCCCCCGTGCCTCCGGGTTCACGGCGAAGAACATGCCCACCAACTCATAGCCTCGAGCGTGACGCCCGGAGAGTCGGCGAGGTTTTTGGAGGAAAGTCATCTTCTAATGTGGGTATACCAACATGATACAATAATGGGATAATGACCAATAATGGGATAATATTTCTATAATAGTTTCTAATATTGTTTGAATATGTCTATAAATTCTATAATATCTTCTAATATGTCTATAATAGTTTGACCAATAATGGGATAATGTTTCTAATATTGTCTTAATATGTTTTAATGTCATCAAATAGTATAAACCATCAATAATAAACCAGCCCATGTTTGATGGTTTAATAGGACCTATTGATGGTGATTTTGGGGATGGTTTATTACTGCTTTCACCACAGTAAGCAGCCAACAAAACGGCAGGGTCTGTGTTAATTGGGGGGATTGTACAGTGAAAAACATCCAGGTAACATCATGTAGCCCTGGTTGTCCCTGATTAATTTAATACTCTCTCTCTCTCTCCATCGCCTTCAGGTCTCCCTGCCCGAGCTGTGCCGGGGGCTAAGTCAAAATGGAAATACATGGAAATACAGTATAGGTTCTGTACATCTACAGGTCAACAGGCGCACAACGGAGAACCGTGCAAACAAGGTGATGTTTTTTCTCAAAAGCAAAATGCCTACGTGCTTCTCGGCATGGGCTGTGGCGAAAGATGGCTTGACTGCAATTGACGCAATCGCACTTCTCGGCAAGCTTGACAAGAGTTCGTGCTGGCGTCCGGAACTGCATGAGTTTGGCCACCAGGTTTCTTGGCCTCATGCAGCCTCTGCACTATCAGGACAGCTGTCACGGTCCATGACCATTGATGTCCTCTTCAGGGCCTGGGCATGCAAAGTAGAAAACGAGTCCGTCATGGAGATGTGGGTCCGTTTGTGTTCCTCACACAGATATCACAGACCGTGACATTGAAGATTGGAGGGCATCGAAGATTGAGATCACCTGCTTTTTGTCTGAGGTATGTGTTGTGAATGTTTAAAGCATGTTCAAACCATTTCCGCATATTTTCGCTGAATATTGACAGGGTGAAATTGCGCAAGGGACCTTCAGTCACCCTTACCTTTGTTTGGACACGGTTCAAATGATTCATGCAGAATGTGGGGTCACATATTCCTGAGAATATGAGACGGGAATATCTTATTACTAGATAAAGGATAGTTCGCCGCAAAATCCAACCTGGTGATTTGCAAACTGACATATAGATGAACAGTATGTAACATGGTGATTTTCCGCTCCAACTGACCCACCATTTCAGATCAGTTCCCCTAGTGTTTCCATTGCTGGAGGGTGCCTCCAGACCCCCATCCCGTTGCAGCCTAGGGGCACATACCAAAGAACAGCAGCAGGAAGGGCAACATTAGAAATGAGAACATCTGCAGCAGGTACCTTGATTTGAAGACACCGGATGCATGAGACATGGGAATGATGGGGATGTTTTTTTCTGAATCTCTCTCTGTCTCTCTCAATGTCTATGTGAAGTATATTGAAACACAGATCTGGCAACAAAATGTCGAAATCTCCCATACATGTCTTAAAACATGTTATTCTTTATCCAGGCCTTGGATGGAAAACCTCATTGCCATTCATTTTTGTTACAGGAAACCTTCACTGCTGCAATGAAACACGCATCCATTTCTGTCAGAAACCACCCGCTGGCAAAAACCCTCAATTCTTACATGTCAAATCCACATGTTTCATCATTTTGTGCGAATGATTTGTAGCCGCAGTCTACTTGGACCGGTCATGGCATTTAACTACTCTAAGTGGTTAATAACATTTAATAACTGGGCTGTTTTCATCCATCTCTCCAGTTTTCCTCCAGATTTTCCCATTTTCCCATGGATTTTCCCATGGAATCCATGGATTTTCGCCCATCCGCACGTTGCTCTCTGGCCCTCCAGGGCACAGAAAGGCTTCGCAGAGGTAGGGGACCAGGCCGTAGAGCGGTGCCGTGCCAACCCGCAGCAAGGTGTCGGCCTCGGAAATGGTGGAAATGACGTGGGATCCACAGATATCCACAGTGAAAAGGCCTGGAAAACCAGGGATTTTGATGATTTCTATGGATTTTATATGGATTTTATATGAACAGAAACTGGGGATTTTGATGGATTTTGATGGATTTGATGGGCTTATCATTCGATTGGGCTGATTTCACTGACTTTTATACCTAGTTGTTTAGGTCATAACATACCATAACTGTTGTGAATGGAGACATATGCTTCCCGGGCTTCCCCAGGCTTCCCCAGGCTTCCTCAAGTGCTTCTCGCTGGAAGGATATGATTAGTGAAGAACGAATCAAGTCCAAGACCCAAGGTGACAGCACAAGTTGGCCCCACAACTAAGATATATACAAAAGAAACACAGTAAGCATGACAAGGTAGGCTCTGACAAATCCCATCGATGGCCTGCATATACTAGCCTGCATATACTATAGATTGCTAGGTTACTGGCATCTAGCTACATGTGCGAAATTATCCAATGTCACAACCTGACGTGAGCCCATGAAACAATGTTGTTTCCAAAATAAAAACCATCGTTTTTGGGGTTTGGCCGGTCAGTACGCGCGGTCTTTATAATCTTAAAGGCCTTTCCCCAAAAAAATCCAACTGCAGTGCTTCAAAAATGAATAGATCCAATAGAAAGCCAGCTTCCTGCTGGATCTATGTCATCCTTAGCTGATGTCATTTCCATTCATAGATTCATAGCGTTTAACGTGTTTATATATATAATTATATATATATAATTATATATATATAAATAATTATATATATATATGTGTGTGTGGCACGTGGTTATTACATGTTATTACACCCAATTTGGTTTCCTCAGTCATGGGGGTACCCCCAGTTCTCACCCAAGTCAGTAGACTCGGCTACGACTTAGTATTGAAACAACCATGGTGACGACTGGGGATCCCCCATATGGATTCATAAATGGATGATAATCATCTCCACCATCATTTTTTTATATGCCCAGAAAATAATCCATATAATCCCATATAATCGCTCTCTACAATCCATATATATCCATATCATCCCTAGATAATCCCGGATAATCCCCATCCATATACCATATAAATCATGTACCCCTCACGTGACCGGCGTTTCGAAAGGACGAACCGCGTGTCAAGGTGCAAAGGCTCGGCCCCCAATGGCCTGGAGGGAGTTCATGGGATTGATGCACATAACTTGCTGTAGTAAACCTACAGCGTTTATAAACCAACAAACATTTTACTGGACCCACCTTGTATCCCAGAATCATATATATATGTTTCGGATGTGGAAAGCCACGAAAAAAATACTGTAATTCATCACAGTCACTTGTCATAGGATTTTACTTTTTTTTCCTCCTGCTGGGTGCTACATGGTATATATGCCTGCTTCGATGAAGCATCTGGGTACTTTTTCTCGGGGATTCAACAAAAATCACATTCATACAAGGTGGGCCCCCCCTAGCGATACAAGTTGATTTATAAACCCTATCAACTGTAGTTATATCCCCCCTAACCAGAGTTAAGCAACCAGTGTCCCAATATGTCCCAATTATCTGGATGGTTTCTTGCTGCCAAGCACAAGCCGTAGAAAGCGTCGAAACTGAGGATTTACCAAAAAAATGGCTGCAATGCTTCAGAAAATGCGGGGTTTCCATCACAAGTACAAACAGAATCCTAGGTCCAAAGCGAGGCGTACTAGACGTACTACAATCATCATGATCATGAGATCTCGAAGCCGCGAGGGGATACCTTGCCCAATACTATGTCAAATGAAAAGTGGCCACTTCTATTTGGTCAAAAGACTTCGTCTGTGTAGTTGAGATATGTCGCATCATGATTAATGTGGGATTCACCCAATGCCATCTGCACCATCCCCCCAAAAAAACTCATCCTTTTATGGGTGCTATGTTTACCATCCCCAGTCATGGGAGTTGTCGGAGTTGGCTTTCCCACATCATCACATCGGCTTTACAATTCAAACACTTGGTGACTGGTCCTCTTGCTTTGCCGCGGCGCAAAAACAGCAAATCACATCTGGATAATCCTCGCCAAAATCATAAAGAAAGGCTATATTGACTCACCTACGAAAATTGGTGCTTGCTTGACACCAATCCCTACAAGACAAAGCCCTTCCAGTGAAATGTTTGTTGGTTAAACCCATTAACTAGTCCCATAAATCTACCAGGATCTACCACTGAGACCATCGAATCCACCTGGTTAGACCAGCATCTTAAGATCAATCAGCCATAAACCCCATGAAAAAATCACCATCTGGTTGGTGGTTTCAACCTACCCCTCTGAAAATTGATGGACTTCGTCAGTTGGGATGATGAAATTCCCAACTGAATGGAAGGTCATGAGATTCCATGGTTCCAAACCACCAACCAGTCATTTGTCTAGGTTAAACCACGATTTTCCTATGGGGCATCACCTATAGTTACTAGTTTTCACATCTTGGCACCGGCTCGCCCGACTGCCCAGCTTTCCCAGCCCAGCTCACCCGAACTGTGTCGTATGCCACCGGTAGGGCCAAGGCGTTGGCTCCTGGCTGCGTTCGACCCAGTGGCCTCTGGTAAACCAACAGTTTGGGAAGTGGAAAATCACTATTTGAATAGGTAAATCACCTATAAAATTGTTCCATTTTCCATAGCTATGTTAGTTTATCGGAGGGTATATGGCCATGGATCAATACCATTCAATAGCTATATACTGTAAATAGCATTTTTTTGGGGATGAACATCCACTTACCAGCTACTTGGATGTGAGCAAAAGGGGTACAAGGTTTTGACCCATCCCCAAATAACAAAAATCAAGCTGAAAATACTTGGAGTAAAGTATTTGGAGGGCCTAGGCAGAAACTCAGCTGTTTACCCTTCAAAGTGGTTCTCAGATGTTCTCGGGAGTTGCACTCAAACAGCCAGGAAGACCCCTCATGGGAATTCCAGATTCAAGGAAACACCAAGAAATACACGCAAACATATGACCCGCCACCCCTGGGGTTCCCCGAGTTCACACCTTCAGAAACACCAAAAACATTGGAACAACCCATATAAAGTAGACATTTGCCTGTGCAATGGATCTTGGAATTCATGATGATCCCGGGTAACCTAAGGACCGGAACGACATATGACTCGTATCTCCGCAAACACATTCGTGACCCCTCATTGCTGCTTCGTTCTTGGGTATCGCACTTGCTTTGTAGTTAGGGGTTGCCAACCAAAAAGAATCACAAAAGTAGTCGTGGTATTGCAGCAAGCATGTTGATCAATAATCTGCGGAGATTTATGAAGCAGTTTCCAACATCTATTGTGGAAAGGTTCTATACCAGTTTAGGGTAGATTACACTATTTCATTCTGAAATAGAGCTATATTGGGATGATTCCCCATACTAACCATCCTTCGTTATAATTTACCCACGTAGTTGGGAATCTCCAAACAGTATAACCCAAACCAGCAACCATCAGCTATGGGGCCAACCGGCAACTGCTCAATTCCGGGTTAGTAAGGTGAACTCTATCTCCAAAGTATGGAACGCCTCTTAGAGGTATTTAAATTAAACATAACAATCAATTTCTTGACTCTCACCACGAGTTTGAACATGTCCGTGTATGTTTGAAGTCGCTTGAAATTGTTGGAAGTGCACTTCGAAACAGACACGTGCTCCCGGCAACATCAATGCACCTGCTTTGATGCCGTTCAGGATGTTATCCACTGGATAAAAGGAATTCAACAGCCTGGGGCATGGGTCAAAAAGTAAGGCCCAAAAAACCACACAACTTGGCGATGTCGTTGTTAGGCTTAAGCCTCCAAAAAAGTGCCCATATTTGATCGCCACGTCCCAATTCAACAAACACTCTCCGGCAAAAATGAAACATCGCAGGTATTTTCATCTCTACCCCGGAAACTTGGTTGTGACCAGTTCAATGCCAGTCCAATCTTAGCCCATGATTTACACCAGGGCTAAGATTGTGCCCGTGTTTAAGTTTTTGTTGTGCCAGGTGAAATTTTCAAAATCAGATCTGGTAAAACTTAATAAGCAGAAAAACCATACAACATGTTCTACATCCTCTGCTAATCAAACATGGCAATGGACGATTCCCATCTATAGATGATTTTCCCATGACAACTTCCATTTAGTTATGACATTTTCCAGTTTGCCACGTTTGTGGACACCGAAGGGCATATCAAACTTGATACCAAACTTATGCACTCAGCTTATTCTTAAAATCCTATCTCCCCACAACATCTGAAGCGATTTCCCAAATCAAACGCAAACATCTCCTGTTTCAGCTTGTGAAATCGTAATTTGTCAGCAATCCCCATGTTGAATGATGGTTGCAGTTTTTTTTCACTGGTTCATGTTCAAACCAAAGAATTTAAAATCCAAAGGTGCATATTTGGAATGCCAAATGCATGCAAGTATCTCGATTTTGTTGTTTATCAACTATGGGAATGTAGGGTAAAAATCACAAAATCCAATGGTAAAAATGCGAAAAAATCCAACACCCACTAAGAAAATCCATAAAAACTACAGCAAAAATCTGCAGTTTCAACGGCACCCTGGGG